AGGAGGAGGAGGAGGAGGAGGAGGAGGAGGAGATTGGACTTATACCCCATGGCCCTTCACTTAGAGTCTCAGAGCGGCTTACAAACTCCTTTCCCTTCCCCTCCCCACAACAGACACCCTGTGAGGTGGGTGGGGCTGAGAGAGCTCTGACAGAAACGGCTCTTTTTCAAGGACAGCTGTGCCAGAGCTTGTGACTGACCCGAGGTCACATCAGCAGGTGCAAGAGGAGGAGTGGGGGAATCAAACCCAGTTCTCCCAGATTAGAGTCTGCACACTTAACCCCTACACCAAACTGGCTCAAAACCAACCATAAAGAAATTCTGTACATTTGATGCAGGCATCTGGACAATTTGGGGATCCATTGACTCATTTTTTCCTACATTACATTTCCCTGCTTATTAACAAACTGGCAGTGGAAGACCACCCAGTTACCCATACAGCACAAGAAGCTTTCAAATGCAAATGGGAAATGATGTTAGTGTGACTGTCAGGTAACTTCTCAGGAAGAACAGGGTCTCCTCCCTCCTTCTACTCTGCCGCCACCAGCTCCTGATTTGAGATGTTCGGCATCTCTCTCTCAGCCATACGATCCAGGCCCTGCAAATCCACTCACAAGGTCAACAGGATAACTAAGGTGCCCCTGACCAATGTTCCCTCTAAGCGGTGGAGTCTTGTGAGCAAAAATTCTACATTGTGAGCTATTGGCATTAAGACTGTGAGCGAGCAATTTGGCAGTTTGCTCTGGAGCCATCCTTCCTGAGCTAAGACAAAAAAGGTGTGAGCTGAAGGCTAAAAAACTGTGAGCTAGCTCACACCAACTCAGCTTAGAGGGAACACTGCCCCTGACCCTCTGGCGAGGGGACACAGCTCAGCATGGCATGACAACTCCCCTTCCTCATTGTCCAACAAAAGAGAGGGAAGGTGGGCTCTCTCGTACAATTCCAAACTTCTCTCGTACAATTCCAAACTCAGGAGCCAGCAGCCTGTTCCGTCATTTCCCTGACAGACAGAGTTTTGGGAGCAGAAGAAGAAACGTACAAAGGAGTCTTCCCTCTCCCCAAGCACCGTGGTAGGTACAGGAGGCCTCTGGGGAGAGCAGTCCGTGGCAGTCACCAAATTATGGCCCCCTAGTCTCCAGCGTCAACGTTTGTGTACCACGAAGACCCAAATTACTAATACGCATAACGTCTCTCTGAGCAGCAGAGTACAGACCCCCACGAATCAAAATGGAGAGCTGAGCGCCAACCAGAGGGTCGGACTATAAATGGGGGCAGATGTGCAGGACAGCCAGTTTGGTGTAGAGCCAGTTTGGTGTAGTGGTTAAGTGAGCGGACTCTAATCTGGGAGAACCAGGTTTGATTCCCCACTCCTCCACTCGCACCTGGCTGGATAACCTTGGGCAAGCCATAGTTCTGTCAGAGCTGTCCTTGAAAAAGAGCAGTTTGTGTCAGAGTTCTCTCAGCCCCACCCACTTCACAGGGTGTCTGTTGTGGGGAGGGGAAGGGAAAGGAGTTTGTTAGCCGCTCTGAGACTCCAAGTGAAGGGCGGGGTATGAATCCAATCTCTCTCTCTCTCCTCTCTTCTTCTTCTCCTCTTGTTCCCAGAACTATCTTGATTTTGGGCTGATTGGACCTGAGCTTCCTCCTCCCCATCCCTCTGTGCTTCCCCTTAACTGGAGACAAGATCAGAAGGCAGAACTTTTTCAAGAACTAAAAGCAATATTTTTATGATTATGCAAAGGATTGCATGCCGGGGGTGGGGGGTAGGGGGTAGAACCCAGCAAAAAGAACTGCTTGGCATCTTCATACGCACAATCTCCTGTTCCTATTTCAAATGCAAAGCTTCTCCGTGCCCCAAAGCACTTTGGTGAGATTAATAAAACAACAGCCCCACTAACGCTTAACCACAGAGACATTTTTAACAAGTGTCCGTCTAATTCTAGGGGCACAAGATATAAACTTTACCAGTATTATCTACTTATCATGTAGGTTAGGTTAAGTAAACACTTGGGTTTTACGTAGATCTGACGTAGATATATGTTTCTTTATATCTGGCCAATCAGAGGATTATTACTCAAATGACCACTGTCTTTTGTAACCAATTACGCTTTTTGAATATTGTTTTCTTGATGATGTCAGTCCATGTATAAAATATCATGTATTTTCTGAATATGTTCAGAATATGTTCAAGAAGAAGAAAAAGAAGAAAGTTGTCAATTGTTGATGGGTTATTGGGTCCAATGGTTTTTCCTGTTAATTGAAGCATATCTCCTGAATATGCTGAGAAGAAAGTAGTCAATTTTGGATGGACTATTTGGTCCAACTGTTTTCTTGTTAACTGAAATAAAACATAGATCTTCCTCCTCATTTGACTTCATTTTTGACATGGAATCTAATATGTACAGCACAAGTAACACACCTATCATTACCAGTCACAGTCAGAAGATATAACAGAGGAAAATCATGCGAGCAGCGAGGAAACCGGCTCAATAATGGCAGTATATATTTAGCTCTTATAGATGAATACAAATAACAAAATACAAAATGAGGTAAATTTTCAATTATAGCTCTACCGTAAGGGAAAAGTCTCTGGGGATGGCTAAAACCCTCAAAGCAACCTGACAGTTCTGCAAGTGGTAAAGTATTTACTCTAGCCAAGAAAAAAGGTTGACGAAAAATTAGGACTGGTAGAAAAGTAAAATAACTTGGCAAAACACTGAAAAGTTCATATAGCACATGATCACAATGGGGGGAAAGGACCTATAAAAAGTAATGGCGTAAACTGTGCATGCACCAAAGTCTAGTAGGAGAACTTCTCCAGGTGAATTCAGAGGAGAGAGCGGTTCCATTCAACCCTACAGATATAGTGCTCATCACTGTATAAAATAAATCAGGTATCAAGCTACCCATTTGTGTTATTTTAAAGAATTGCTATTTCATAAGCAAAGGGTTAATTGTATTTAGTAGAAAGCGGGAGTTTACCTAGCTCGAAGGTCTGCCACTTGGTCAGTTAGCTGGCCAAGCATCTTACAGGTTCCCAGAATCTCTCTGCGCTCTTTGCCCGCACAAAGCTCTCCAACTTTGCCTGCTTCATCCAGGATCTGCCGAATGGCCTGTTCACCGGAGTCACCTGGTGGTAAAGCAAGAATGTGTGAATATGGACAATGTGAGCCATGCATTATTTACACAAAGGGAACTGCCAGTCCTATTAAAACCTATGCCACATCCAATGAAGGAGGGGAGGCGAGTTTATTGAATGCACTCTGCAGGAAATATAATCCATCGTAATAGGACAGTGTTTCCACAGCAGGATAATGTTTCCCTAGTAATAGGGATATCAATTCACGGTATTAGGCAGGATACACATCACTGAAAGTCAACTGATTTTGTTGCTGATGTACATTCCAAGCAATGGTTCCATGGAGTTTTCTTACATCTGTGTGATTTTACAACACGTGTGAGAAAGGCGAAGAAATGTTTTAAAAACTCAGTTTCAGGCAAACTTCTGTTTGCTGTCAGTTCCTGTTCTTTGAACCGTCCAGCGGGCAGCCTTCATAACTGGGATAGCGCCGCTTCCTGGCTGAGAGACCAGGTCAGCCTTCTACCTTCACTGGGAGAGAATGCCTGTGGTGTCTCAGACCAGACATGGAAGAGCAGGAAAACTTCACGAGAAACTGGTCGACCAATGTGAACAGAAATTCTCGAATGCGGAGACTTGTGAAGTCCGACATGTGTGTCCCCCCCCCCCCGAGACTCAGGTGGGCAGGCAGGGTGGTTGCAGAAAGTGGGCAGGGCCAGGCAGGGCTTTTGTCCAGCGAGGCTTCTGATTGGCCACTGGAGATCTGATCAGCTCGCAAGATCTGCTGTAGCTGACACCTCAAAGTCACTCTGTCAAAAGAGTTCTAGAGAAATCCCCTCCATTCACTGTAATAATCATCACGCACACCAGAGGTCCTACAGGCACATCCACACATCAAAAGTTACACTACCCAGCAGCAGAACTGTTGGCTTGGCTCCACCCAAAATTTCTGCTGACGGAAGGGATTGGGGGGGGGGGATCAGCCCAAACTCATCCCCCTCACAGTTTGTAGAAATCCTCTGTTGGATCCAGCCTAATGTTTTTGACCTCAAAGGATCTCCTGGGTAGACCCCCCAC